GGGAGGGGGGCGGCGGGGGGTCCCGGGCGAGGAAGGAGCCCTCGCTGCCTGTCCCGGCCCCGGGGAGGAGGGGGCGAGCCATGGGGCAAGGAGGCTTGGGCAGGACTTCTGACACAGCCCTAATGCCTCACATCCTCCGGGTCAAGCCGAGCTCCCGCACGCTTGGTCCCCTTCTACCGTGAAAGCAAAAACATCACTAATGGAATTACTGAGTCCTGAGGACGCCTAAGTCACCGAATCTCAGCTTCTTTATACTCATCATCCCAATTGGCTCGAAGAGGACTGTCCCAGGGAAAACTTGTTTAGCTCCAGCCTGCTTGACACTGTAAGAAACAGAAGTCTTTAGTTTGCTGAGTTCAATGGCTCAGCTTCTCTCAGCTTCAGGGGTTTTTCTCCTAGAGGCGGCCACCGAGTTGAATAATTGCTCAATGAGCAAATCAAAAGATCCGCATATAAAGCACCAAATATTTGCAGTGCCAAAGCCAACGACTACAGAATTGCACTTTCAGCAGCTGTTCCTATTCTTTGGCTACACACTTTAAACTTGCTTACAGTCAGTGTTGATAAGAGATACAGATCTTGCATTCAAGAACCAAGGAGGGTTTTTTGTAGAGTAATTTGAATTCTGAATGCCCCAAATCACAGGACTTGTCCTCTGAGAGCAAAAAAGCTCCTTTACAAATGCTTGCAGGAACAAACCCTTAAATACCTTTTTATAGGGCATGTAATAAACAGAAGATTACTTCACACAATGCTCAAAGTTATAGATTCTGTTCAATTTTTTTCTCACTCTTCCTAAAAATAAATACTTTTCCGAAATACAAAAAGAACAAAACCAACCAAACAAAAAACTTCAAATCTTTTGTGGTAAGAAGCAGAAGGGACTTTTACACATTGCTTGTCAAAAAAACTGTTTGTGGATTCCAGTTTTCATAGAGTTATAGTTTCTACAACATATAGTCAGCATAAGCCATGTTCAGTTGTCACTTAGATGCAGTTTAACGACTTTCTACTCTGATGTTTCTAATACGGGGAAAGGGCCTACAGTCCAACCTGTCGATCTGCTGGTTTTTGATACTCAGATGAGAAGGCTCTTTAAAAAAGTGAAGTGCAAAAAGTTATTCAAGCAAGACAGAATTTCAGTAGCACCCTGTTGAGAACTTGCAGAAGTTGCCTGGCAGATTTTACTGTTTAATGACAATGACACAATCTTCCAGAGGAGATCTTGCAGAGAAATATAGTCAGTTTGCGAAGCAATGTCATTACTCTTGAGAGTAACAGTCTTCTGGCATGCTGCCTTTGGGGATCATTATGTATGAGACTGGTACTACCATTTAAAAATGTGGTTCAAGTAGGAATGTTACGTGTTGCTTCCTGCTTACAGCACATGGTATTTTAAAGTATAAGTGCTTCTATATATAACTGAGTCAATATTTTGGCACATGCACTTTACTACTTGCATTACTAAGGCATTTTATGAATACCAATTTCAATACAAAAATATGCTGGTGCATCATAAAAATGTTGAATCTGGGTATTAAAGCTTGTACATCCTTCTGGTCTGTATTTCCCAGTTCCTATATTCACTATTTAGTCTTGGTTGTCAAAGGCACTCAGCATTGATTTGGTTGGACTTCCAGGAGACAATCATCATTAATTAATTTTTTTGACAGAAGAAAAATATGTGTGATTAGATTTACCCATGTTACAGGAGCATTCAAAAATCAGTTATGCTATTAAAAAAAATACTTAAAAGGAATTATGTTCAAAAAAAATTCCAACTGAAGCACAAAAAAGAATCTGCCATGCCTGATTAATAGCCGCTTCTTGCAACAGTAATGCAGAGAAAGGACAGACACTTTTTAACATAAAAATGAATCCACGTGCACAAACATTTTCTAAAGAGCCAAAATACAGGCTATTCTAACCTGGATCTTACTAAGCTAAGCTGGATAGCCAAACGGAGCAAAACCATAGTGGAATTGTTACTGTTCTTCAATTTTCTTTGATAACTTTCCCAAACTATCACCTTTAGTTCCACAGTGGCTTGAATGTTTTCTCTTTCTCTTCATCCACACCATTCTGCCAGAATCTGTCTGTAGCATTCTTTGCAGTAGCTCAATGAGAGAGAAGTATCAACTCAACATTGAAAATATCACTTTCTATACCTCAACAACCATCCTAGCAACCTCCAATCAAACACATACCCGTGCTCTGGGGTAAGATGCAACAGACACCTGCAGGACAACTGCAGCTGCCCACAACCACCATAACTTTCTTAGCCGAAAGAAAATCTCAAAGCTCAGACCCAATCCATCTGATACTGCAAAAGTCTGCATAGAAGTCAACTACATCCTGTGAATCATGGTATTGAAAGCACCAAACACATCTAACAGTACAATTATGGATGCTTGACTTTTAGGCAGTGATGAGATTTTTTGAGCAATATTATCAATGCTATTTCTACCCCAAACTTGAGTCCCTAACAGATAGCTAATTATTATTAGGGACCGCTAAATGTTGTGAAAGTTACCTCTAATAATGTATTGCACCCTCTTGGTGGTGGACAGTAGCTGGCCAGGTCACAATCAAGTGATTTTTTCCAAGGAAGTACAAAATGGTATCAAAGCCTCAGCTGTATCAAATGCCTCAAAGACAACAGGAAATTCTTCTTAGGACTTCCTCTTTGGAGGAAAGGTTACTTTGGACCCTTAAGAGAGAACGCATTGAATCTAACAGATAGCTAATTATTATTATTGGACCCTTAAGAGAGAACGCATTGAATCCTTCACTGTAAACCCTCATGAAACAGCTCAATAGGATATTGAATGCAAAATGCATGTTTGGCATGAGGATTCCTCAACTTTTCAGACTTCAGTTCAACCCAGACCAGCTATATATATATAAGAAGAAATGCCCTTCCCACTGTACAGACCAACTGTGTCTGGCCACAATGGAAACCAACAAGGCTATTTAAAACTTCCTCATCCTGAATTGGTGGAAGTGAAGAGCCATTTCTTCATTTCATGTCAGACCGTGGCATAAAACCTTGAAAAAATATTTATGCTCCAACTGTTTAGTTTTACACCCAAAACACTCAGTCTTCATACTCTATTCAGTTTCATGGTCATTGCATTGTCCAAAGTTATCCATTATTCAGATTGGGAAGCAAAAATGAGAGGCAAAAATCTTGAAAAACTTATTAGGCTAAAGGCTTCTTAAGAGAATCCAATCCATTGGGGGAAAATATCTTTTCCTTCAGCCACTGCTGGTCAGACTGTAGATCTATTAGTTTCTGAGGACAAACCACCAAAACGGGACCTTCATCACATTGCGCATGTTAAAGCATAGGAGGAGAGAGTCACTGCATGACCTGAAGGTAATTGCTAAATTATTTCAGTCCACCTCAACACACTGACAAGAGCATCACCGACTGTATGGGTGAGCTAATCTCAACTCAGTGGAGACCTGGGATAAATAACTTTACAAAACTCTACATCGAGAGGGGAATTCAGCATCTGTGTACAGCCAAAAACAAGCTATCTGCTAAGCCTCCAAAAGCTTGGTACTGAGCAATGCAGTCAGCGTGCTTCGAAGTGAGAGCGAACAATTTGTTCACCGATAACTGTCTCCAAGTTAATACTTTCCAAGGCTGACTTAGAGGATGCATCTTAGAGAATATATAGTATCTTATCTTCTAAGAGGTATCGTGAGTACACACAGAGTTCTACCCTAAGTTTTTCATCTCTTGCCACATTTTAACTTATATTTAAGGGGAGATACAGCTATGGAGCAAAGGGGCACCTTCCGCTTGCCAGCCTCCCTTAGGCAAGCAGGCCTTAAATGGCTGCTTGTCACGCGTAACTCAGTGAAAAGAGCTGCACTGAATTTAGTGCAACTACAGTCAGAAATAACAACGGGGAGTTAGAGACATACAAAGGTGTGTAGGAATTATGCTGCTGTCAATAGGATTCTGCACATGAATGACATTACGAGAAACCCCCCCTGTAATTTGCAGCAGCCAGGCCCTTGGCTGGTGCATGATACATTTTTAAGTCTGATAAAATTAATAGGCTGATGCAGTCAAAGGTCAGTGTATAACTAGTACAGATACAATCTGCAGTCTCTTGAAAATAGGCAGGGCCAGGAATCAGCCTGTAGTGTGTGTCTGTCTCTCCGAGCATTGCACTAAGGGGTATTGTCTCACTGCCTCATGTGCACAAGGCTGCATGAAGCCATTGGGACCACAAAATGATTCTCTTTTTCTCTCTCGGGGGACAAAAATAGGAGATCTGAGCACTCCAACTGACCAATTAGACATGGAGAGATCTTTACTTCCAAAGTTACTCTTTGCCAGAATCAAACAGTATTCCTCATCAGCTGTTTTCTGCAAATCAAAGGAATGACTGCAGAACACCAGAAAGCTCAGCAGAGCATGACCACAGCCTGGCGTTGCATCTGCAGAGCAGCACAGGGTCACCACAATTCAACAGCTGAATGCAAACATTTCTACAAAAGTGGGAGGCTGTGCGTTATTACGTTGCCAGCGTGTTTGAAGTCTTCTGCTAGCTGTGTCTCTCCCCACCTTTCTAAAGCAGAGGACTCCAGTTGCGCGCTACCTGAGCATGTCCAGCATAGTTTTTTTTTTGGCCAAGATATAATAGTTATATAAAAAGTCCTAAGGTGTGCTCTAAAACCTATGAGTTTTTATCTGGTTAGTTGGGATTGGGAGTATTTGCACTAGATTGGCAACTCTTCCCATGAAGGCACCATCTTTCAGATGTCTTGGAACTACGTTATCACATTTGCACCCCAAGCCTAAACCTGTATTGAGAGACCTACTGTGCTAGTCCTCTTGCTAGAGTACCCAAGAGGACAGGGAGACAACATTATCTAATGGTTGTTTCTTCATTGAGCCAAGATAAGTTCCTGGAATCACAAAACAAAATTGGAAGTCATTAGAAGATTTATAATATTCTTAGCAATGTTTTACCTGAACAGCTCTCCTGGGAAACCAAAATTACTAGATCAGGCTTTTCAGAAAGAGCTAGGCATTTTAGGCACTCAGGTTTTGTTTTTCAAGAAGTGCTGAGTTTTCCTCACCCTCACGTCCATTCCTTATTCTTTAGCTCACCCTCTCCTTCAGAAAGCCCTGTGCTTTCAGTGTCGTTTCTTTAAGTCTATATTTTTGGCTACAAAGTAATCAGTGTATCTCTAAAAGCAAAGCCCCCTCCTCGTGGTGAATGAGGGGGATAAAGCTGATAATGAAGCAGTTGGTAAAGCTGATACTCTCAGCTCACAGAATTGTACTGAGATAGGGCTGCTGATTTTATTCATTTGCAGAAAAGAAAGTCTCTGGGGCTGAAATCCTGGCTCTGCCAGAGTTGGGGAAATTTTACGATTCACTGGGTCCGGTTTCCC